CAAAATTATGACATAACCAAATATAGACATATGGTTTTTTATGTTCAGTAAATGAAAATACATCGAAAATGACCATTCACACTTATGTTGCAAAATTGATGTTGGACAGTCTAATTTAAACTTTAAATTAGTATTGTAATAATTAATAGAAACTAGTGTGACAACAATACATCAACTTTATATATTATATTTTTATTAGAATTTTTATTAGAATTATATTTTTATTTTTATGTATTAAAAATTCCATGAGTCTATATAAATTTAATTGACATTTGCTGACAAATTATGGAACCTCAAAATTTTTCTCAATATAATGATAATTGGATTAGTATTAACATATAATAAATAACATAAAAATAACTAACATAAAAAATTTGAGAAATACAAAATAAAAGGGATATATTGACATATTAATATACAAAAGGATTTACATACTTTAAATGGTTTGCAGTGATGATTTGTAAATTTAGATGGTGCTGAAATAAATAAATATGGACAAAATCCATGAACATGACAGCAGACAGAATTTCCTTGTTCTGTAACGCCAAACATTCTCATTATCGGCACAGGTCCTACTTTGCTACCTGGCATTCCAGGAAGAGGTTTACCTAAACAAAAAACATAATGATGAAACATTGAAATGATTAAAAATAATATTTCACTATATTTTTATTGAAGCAATATAGTTTTTCTTTTCTTCTTAAAATATAAAAATGTATCTTTGAAATAATGCATTACCTATATAATGATCAATTTCTATTTGTTGAAATAGTAATATATCAGTTTGTGGATTCAATGATGAAACAGGAACTCTGTTCCATTTTGCAAATGTATTTTCTTGTTCATGACCCTATATATATAAAAAAAACTATTAACAAATTTATATATATTTCAATACAATATTATAGAATGACATATAATCTGGACTGAATAATTATAAAATATAATTGGATTTTTTTCTTAAAAATATTTCATAGAAGTTGAAAAACCAAAAACACATTCATGAAAATTTAAGCTATAAAACATAAGACATTCTTATAATAAATTATATAAATGATACCATATTTTTGTTGGCATGTTAATATATCAATTTCATAAATATTGGTAAAAAAAAGGACATAATTATACTATAAAATTATATCATTGATCAAATTTGTTTGCTATTTTCCAATATTCATATTTATGTAAAGTCATATATATGCAAAAAACAAAAAACGTCTTTTTATTATCGTAGATATATTTATATTATATACTTCTCCAACTAGTATCTCATCAGACGCAAGATTGAGAGTAGCCATCGTAATGATAGAGCTCCAACTGACTTTATTTTGAAGAGAATGGCTACTGGCCGCAATATAAAGCCCGCGTCAGATGCTCAGGTCTGTTTTCTATTGATGCACTAAGGGTACGTTCGAGAAGTGCCCTACTAGTACTAATAAACTCTAAAGCCTGTATCAGACTACAGATTGGAAATTGAGATTGAAGTGAAATTTGACCAATCAATGCAAAGTTCACTAAATTTCACTAAATTTGAGTTCAGTTACTTTGTACTATGTAACGTCCCCATTTTTCAGGGACATACCATTACGATAAGTCCGACCATAGAGATATAAGAATAGAGGGAACAAACCTGTTAATGGAAGTGATAGAGGCAAAGAGAGAGATGGATGCCGAGTGTCCTATCTA